ATCGTTTCTGATCCCTGCGCAAAGAATCAGGTGGCTCCACTAACCTGGGAGGAGGGAAAAGCAGAGGAGGGCACTCAGGTAATGCCTGGCAGCCCAGGGACAGGAGGCCTGCAGCAATCTCAGAGCCTTGGGCTGACCTCACCTGGCCAGATCACCTTCCCAAGCCTGGGGCTGCCAGAGCTGTGATGAGGGCTCTGCCACGCGTGCACTCCGTGCCAAAGGATGGCAAGGCCCTGTGTGCTGACTGAGGGCTGCACCTGTCATCATGGGTGTCTAAGTCAATGCACAAAATGGTGAGGTGGCGCAGGAAGCCCAAGATCCTCAGTTCTGCTTGAAAGCAGATGACCCAGCAGCCACCATGGGCAAGGAAGGGCCAGATGTCCAGGGACTCCCTGGTTCTGCTCCTCTGTCACCAAACTGAAGTCCCCGGCCTGGCTTCCGGGTGGATCTCCTGAGGCACCTCCTGGACAGACAGCCTGCAAAGCTCAGTGCAGAGACCCAGAGGTGACCAAGGCGCCCCTGAGGGAGGCCTGGCATTTAGGAATCACCACATCAGGGGCATCTGAGACAGTTTGGAGCTGGACTTTGTGCTCGCCACTAAACTCTCCATTTCCTTCCAAGTTCTCCTCTCTGCTGAGCATCAGGGTGGCTCTTGGGGTCCCCCCGAAGGGACTCTGGCCAAAGACAACAAGTCACAGTGATAACACACTGTCCAGCCCCCAGCTCTTCTCACGATGGTCCCTCTGCAGGGTCGGCCCTCCTGCCTCCACCTCGTCAAACTGCTCGCCTGTCCAGACCCAGCAGGATTTGAAGAGAGAGCCAAGCTGGAAGAAGGAATGAATCGCACCCTCCATCGGAGGGGACTTAGACACACGCGTCCACCTCCTCCGCCTGGCTGCTGACTCGCCCAGTCCTTCATTCATCCCCTGAGCATCTGTGGTACCTCAACCCTGCACTGACAGCTCTGTCCAAGGAGAAAGAGAGAGACGAGCACCCGGAGATCCTGTAATTCTGGTTTGGGAGAAGGAGGGAGCTGAAAGGCAGCAAATCAGCAGACAAATAATAATAATAATAAATAGGAAATGCCGATCCGGGTTAGAGCTGAGACGAACTTAAAGCAGGGAACTAGGATAAGGGTGGAGAAGCTGTCAACAAGTAGAAACAACTTACACATCCACAGGCTGACGGATGGGTGAGCAACACGTGGTAGGATTTAGCCATGCACAGGAATAAGGTATGGATTCATCTACCATTATTCCGAGTGAGAGGCCAGTCACGGAAGACTACATATCGCCTGATTCCATGTGTGTGGAATATTCCGATTCCTGGTTGCCAGGGGCCAGGAGGGAAGAGGGAACTAGGAGCCAACGGGCCCAGGGTTTGTTCCTGGGGTGAGGTTCTAAAACTGAGCCTGCTACAGGCTGCACAGCTCTGAACACCAAAAACTGTTGAACTGCATGTTTTCAATGGGACATCAATTAGATCTCAAAAAAGAGGATTTTTTTTAAAATGAGTCATATTCAAAGAAAACATGAAATCATAGGCTGAGATGTGCAAGAGTGGCTGGACTTTCGGAAACATTAAATTCCTGTGTTTGACCCTCAACGCATGGTCTGTACGTGGGTTCGAACCCAGTTCCACCACCCACGAGCTGAGTGACAGTGGGCAAGGAACCTCACCTCTTGTGGGCTCAGCTTTTCATCTGGGAAATGAGAACAGGACGGCTCCCGCCTCGTGGAGCTACCATCTGAGCTCAGTTAGCACCATGCCTGGCACGCTCGGGAGGGGCGAGAAAGGTAGCATTGATGAGGGAGGGTGGGGGTGATCACTAAGGGTACCTGGCTGCTCGGGAAGGTGAAGTCAAGTGTTTGTGAACCCCCAAAAAGTCATGCTGAAACCCCAACTCCAACGTGATGGTGGGATTAGGTGAGGCCTTCAGAAAACAATTAGGTTACAAGGTGGGGCCCTCTGTCTCCACAGGACTAGGTGCCTTATTAAAGAAGCCCCAGCACACGCCCGGCCCTGTTTCCACCATGAGAGGACTCAGGGAGAAGTTGGAAGGCTGTGAGCCAGAAGCAGGCCCTCACCAGAGCCCCACCATGCCAGCACCCTGACCTTGGACTCCCACTGTCCACAACTACAAGAAAAATGCCTGTTGTTCACATCAGCATACGGTAATTTGGTAGAGGCTAACAGACTAACGCAAAAGACAATGAAAACATAGACTCAACTGTGATCCATCCAGGATATACTAAAGGCCTGCAGTAGACATTTTAGGTGGTGAGACTCCCGTCCTCCACTGCACAAACACAAGCTGTTGTGTCTACTACATGCAGGACACTGTGCTCCCACCGTCTTGTGCCCTCCAGGAGCTACTGCCCTGAGTACTGTAGGCCCAAGGGGAGGCGGGGCTGGCAGTGGGCCATGGCATAGACCCCGGCAGCAGGGGCCCTGGTCCATGGCTGGAAGCCAGGAGGACAGCCCCGGTGTCCCCTCCAGCTCCATCTGCAGCTAGCCCTGTGGCCTTGGGCAAGTGGCTTGGCCCCTCTGCACCTCACCACACTCCTCTGCAAAATGGGAGTCATTCTCTTTTAAGTGGCACTAGAGTGGGACCAACAAAGCCTGAGTCACAAGTTCAAATACTAAGGAAAGAAACGGCATGAAGTCTTTCATCAAAGTAAGCACGGAACCCACTGCAGAAAATGATCAGAGGCCCCTCAGCCACTACAGGAGGTACAAAGTGCAGCGATGACCAGCTCAGGACCCCAATCCTCACTGGCAGGTCGCCCTAGCCACTTGAGTCCCCTTTCTAATCGAGGCCTCAGTTTCCCCATTTATACAGAGAAGGTTGGACAAGTGAGAAAAAAGGGTGAGGAGCAGAAGAGGGAGAGAGGCAGAGGGTGAGGGGTAGAAGGAAGGGAGAGCAGAAGAGGAGGAGGAAGTAGGGGAAGGAGGAAGAGAGGGAGAAGTAAGGAAGCCACCACTGCACTGAGTCACGGATTGAGAATCTACTGTGCGCTGGGTGACCTCACTCCTGCTCACAGCCACACTCCTGAGGTCAGAGAGGACTCTCTTCACATCACAGGGAAACACCGTGGAGTCACTTGCCCCGGGTCCCAGAGTGGCAGAGCCGTATCCTGAACCTACTTCCTTCAGCCTCTAGAGCCCCATGCTGAGGTCCTTGCAGGCAGCCCGGTGGGCACAAGGAGGGGAGATGACACCCACAACCCCCCAACGCTGGCTCTGTCAGTACAGACCTGAGTCCCAAGAACAGGAAAACGGGGTCTGAGGCCCTGTCCTGTCTAGCTGGGCCGAGTCACCCTCAGGGGAGAGGAAGTCAGGAGGCAGCATGATTAGGGGAGGAAGCCAAGACAAGCTTCCGGGGACTCCAAGGACAAGAGCTCCTCAATGACAGAGTAAAAGAGGAAATCAGCAGCCAAGGAAGGCTCCGGCAAGCAGGGACTACACACAGACAGGCTTTAAACGTGTCTCTGCTCATCAGCTGCTCTCTGTCTCTCTCCTCTTTCTTCTCTCTTCTGTCCACACACACACACACACAGGCACACATGCATTCGTGCACGATCAGGCCAAGATGGAGCCCCCTGTGTGGGACGACAGAGAAGGTAAGAATGAAATCAGAAGGAGGGAACATTCAGCAAAACCCAGGCAGGTTTCAAACCTGTGCAGGGCCGTGGCTGGGATGGGGACACCTGAGGAAACATCTGGGGCTGCTCAGCGAAGGTCTGAGTTGAAGGTCCGAGTTCCTCCTAAACCCTGTTGCCCCCAGCCCATTTGATACCATGTCTTCTCACGAGCCCTGCCAAGGCCATCTTCACCCCATTCTACCCAGGAGGGAACCAAGGCTTAGGGGAGGGAAACGTTTCGTCCATGGCCACAAAGCTAGAAGAGCCAGACCTAGGACATTAATACAGGAAGGGTTCTGTGTGCCCAAGAGATGAAATCAGTCCTGTGCAGCCAAAAGGACCCTCGTGAGCAGTACCCACGTCACCTTACTCAAGAACCTCCTCTCTCGGACCCCTGTATGGGGCCAGTAGCTCAGAACAGACCTCAGAGCAAGTGCACAACTCAGCAGATCTCCAAGTATCGTGGCACTAGAAAGATCTGCAGAAAATCATCAGAGGTAGCGAGATGCGGACTAGCCTGGGTAACCAGAGGCTCTGGGAGCTTCCCCCAGAGACCTGCTGCTCATTTCCCCAGATCCTTCCACATAGCGAAGGCAGGGGTCCGGCTGGCTCAAGGGCACAGAGCCACACAGGAGCCACAAGGAGCCTTGGAGACAACAAGAGAATAATAAGAGCATGACTGTGCTCATGACGAAGTTGACGTGTCAGACACCTGCTCAGGGCCCTCCAAGTTCTCCGCGCAGGATCTCCTCCGAGCCCCACATCAGCCCTGGGAAGCGGACACTACTCTAATCCCCACTATACAGCAAAGGAAACTGAGGCCAGGAGCCTGCCCCAGGTCACATGGGAATGTGCACAGCTCTAGGATTGGGACCAAGCACTCTGGCTCCAGAACCAACTTTCTACAGCCTCCTCTGTTACTGTGCACTGAGCACTACGCACGATCCTATTCCACCCTCGAAAACAGCTACAGACAGAGGAATCGAGGTCCCGTTCCTCAGATGCAGAATCTCATGCAGGGAAATTAAGGGCAGTGCTCAAAATCTCAGAGAGGCTAAGAGACAATTCTGGGATTTGAACCCAGAACCTCCGGTCCCCAGCACATGTCCTCTCAACCAGGCAGCTGGGATCACCTCTCCAAGAGCTGATACAGCTTCCCAGGCAAAGCCATCCAATGCCCTCCACATCACAAAGCAGCATAGCCATATAGGAGATGCCAGGTTCCCAGACACCGACCGCCCACCCTCCACCTCTCAGGCCAAGGCCAGACTTGACCCTCTGAGGACACCGTCACAGCAGCACGCCAGGACCAGCACCACCTGCATGCTGCTCCATGACTATGCCCCTGCCACTCACCACAAAGGCCCCACTCGTCTTGTCTTTACAGAAGCTGTGACTTCTCTGGGTGCCCGAAGACAATGGTGTCAGCTCCCTGGGCAGCTGCTCATTATCTTGGTGGGCATCCCCTCGCTCCAGGTCCCGCGATGTCACCTAGACACAGAACGCAGGAAAGGACTTTACTGAGCGTTCTCCTACTCACAGGAGAAACATCGGTTGACAGAGTTCCTTCTCTCTCAGCGCTGGACGGAGCGCACATTTCCCTCCCACTTAATGATCGGAGGCAGCAGATCTGGGCTCAAGTGGCCCAGTCCCAGGCACTGAATAACTACGTGACTCCAGCGAGTGCCTGAACCTCTTGGAGCCTCAACATCTGAGGGAGGAACTAGAAAGAGTAGCCAGCTTCTAGGGTCATGGGAGACCACCCAGGAACGATGCACAGAACTGCGTGGCATGTTCCAGCCACCAGGGGGCAGGTGTGCGCTTGGGCGCCTGGCTCCGTTCGCCCTGCAAGGCGGGGCGTCGGAGAACATCAGCCAGCCTCCTTACTTACCGCCAGTGGTGGTAACTCTTGGTGATCTCGCTTTGAACGCTCCTCCCTGCATCCAAACACAGGCGCACCCTCACACATAGGGAGAAGTGGTGCACGAACGGGTGATACCACCGGGGCATCTATCCTGAATTAAAACGTCCTTTATTTATCACTGGGGGAAAGTCACAGGCTAACACACAAAGGCCTCCAACATTTTTATTTTACATGCCTCACAGTCTGCACACACGAGGCTCCTGCTCCAGAACTCACAGCCTTCCCTCTTCACAGCCCCTTCCTGGTACCCTTATGAGGACTCTCCAGCTTTCCTCCTCCTCCCTCGGCCGCTCCTTCTCAGCTTCCCTGCACATCCTGGGCCAGCCACAGAGCCTTCCCTTCTGTGCTGTGGTGAACGCTCTTCAAGACAGCCCCCTCCAGTTTTAAGGAGATCCCACCTACATCCCAACCCCCCACAGCCAGAACAGGAGGCCCCTGCACTCCTCCGCCCCAAACTGCCCGTCCCCCAGCGGCAGGCTGAGCTCCCGGGGTCTCCCCCCCTCTCCTCCTCCTCCCTCCCTGTCCCCAACACTGAGCTCTACCTTCAGGACACCTGTAAACCCACACTCAATGCAAATACCGACTCAAACTAGATCAGGATCTCAAGGAGAGAGCTAAAACTGGAAAACTCAGTCCTAAATTTTCACCACCCCAGATTAGGCAACAGAATCTTAGTTATGCCCCCAAATCACAAACAAAAGAAGAAAAAAACAGATAAAATGGACTTCATCAAAATGAAAAAAACTCTTGTGCCTTAAAGGACATCCTTAAGAGAGTAAAACAACAACCCACAAAATGGAAGAGAATTTCTGCAAATCATAAGTACTGGATTCAGAATATACTGGTATCCAGAATATATAAAGAGTTGCCGGGGCTTTAGCTCAGTCGTGCCACTGCCTGACTCACAAGCACAAGGTCCTGAGTTTGATCCCCAGCACAAAAAAAAACAAAACAAAACAGAATATACAAAGAGCAACGGCAGCCCAGTGATAAACACAGAGCATCTGAAAAGGCCTCACTCCACAGAAGCTGTACAAACGGCCAAGAAGAATATGAAGGAGTCTCACACCACTGGCCACGAGGGAAACGCAACTCAGCCACCGTGAAACACCGCTTCACACCCGCTCACTGGAATGACTACGACAAAACACAAAATGACCACAGTGTTGGTGGGGGTGTGGACAGGCTGGAACCTTTGTCTGCTGCTGGTGGGAACTAAAACGTTGTGGCCATTCCTCAGAAGTGAGGCCCAGAGCACACATATGACCCAGCAACTCCACTCCTAGGCACGCAGCCACATAAAAACATAGGTCCACATAAAAACTTACCAACGAACGTCATGGCAGCATTATTTGTAGAAGTCAAAAGTAGAGAACAACCCATGTGTCCATGGACAGGAGGAGAGCCTAAAACACAATCCACCCCTCAATGGAGCATTATCCACTCACGAAGCAAACCAAGTTCTCGGGGATGCTACGACCTAGATGCAGCCGGGCAACACTGCTCTAAGTGGAAGCAGCCGGTCCCGGACGGCCACAGCGGCGTGACCCACTGACGTGCAGGTCCAGGACAGGTGAATCCCCGTAGACAGGAGAACGGAGAGCTGCTTGCCAGGCCTGAGGGCAGCGAGGGACGTGAGGATGGCTTGACGGCAAGAGCCCTTGCAGGCGATAAAGATGAGGGAGCAATGGCGGCTGCCTGGCACGGTGAGGATACTCAAAATCACAGAGCTGCACACTCTGGAGGGGCAAACTGACCAAGAAGTCAGTGAAACCTCCACAAAACACATATAACAACACGTGGCAGGACGTTCTCCTCTCCACCTCCACAGCCCTGTCCGGCATGAGCCCGTCCCCTCCTTGAGGAACACAGCAACCTCCTCCCCGCTGCTCTCCCTGCCTCCGTCCTCAGCCCCCGTCCACACAGACCAGCCTGTGGGGATGGACAGTGTCTCTCTACGACACAGACAGACGGTGACAATCAGGCTCAGGACCAGAACCCTTCAGTGGCTCCGGGGACCTCAGCCAGGGCCGATGCTCAGGCCCCTCCATCTCGGCTGGGCCTCCACCCCGTGCCCACTGAGGCCCCTTCAGTGTGTACGAGACAAGCTCATCCCCACACTGGGATGTCTCTACTTCCTGATCCCGCCTCCTCCCTCTGATCTTGGTCTGGCTGGCAGCTGGGGACCCTTCCAGTACCCCAATGGCTCCTTTCAGGTCCATGCCCGGACCTCTGTCACCTTCTTTTCCTGTCTCCCCAGGACTTCGCCCACTCTGGATGACCTCACCCACTGGCACAAGGCCTGCCCACCTGCCCCTGCCCCCTCTAGCTCAGTGCCAGCCACCAGAATGTGGAAATGTTCAGCATGTGTGGGTCCCACACGGTCACCAAGAGGCACACATGGATTGTGTGTGAGCTCCTAAACGTGGCCAGGGTGATCAAGACTTGGATGCTTAATGGTTATTCCATTTTACCACATGCGAGGTGGTTTCCTCACAGCCTGTGCTTACAGACAGGTCCATACCTAGGTCTCTCTCAGTAGCCCCAGAACCTTGAACAGGGCCCAGCAAAAGGTTCATGCCTTTATTAGATCTATTAAAGGAATGGAGACAGGAATAGGACCCAAAGAGTTGCTCTCTGAATTCCTCACCCATCCTTGACACCAGGACCTGTGTTCGGACATAGGCTTCACCATCGATCCAGAGTAAATCTCAAACTGGCTCAGGAATCAGGCAGGCTGCCCATCCCACATACAAGGAAACAGAGGTTCAGAGAAGTGAGTGGGATGGGATGGTCCAGAGCTCAATCCCAGATCTACCCAGCATGTAATCCAGGGACATTTCCAGGAGAAATCAAAGCGTGTAAGTGCAAAGCATTCGCTGCCTAATAAAGAACTCTAAGGAATCAATGCAGAAAGGACCAACAGTCCAAAAGAAAGGCCAGGGGAACCTAAGCAAGTTACAAGAAGGCAACACAAATGACCTCACACACCGGCCAAGAGGCCCCTCACTCTGAGCAGGAGAAAGTAAACTGAGCCATGCATTGAAGTGAGCGAAATGAAACCTAAAAATAAGAGGCAATGAATCAGGATGGGGGTTTGATATGGGCCCTTGTGCACGTACCAGGCAAGGGGAACAGATGTAGGCCTGCTGCTGGGAACACTGGCAGTTACCACCAGTTTCACGCTCAGATGCACAATTCCCATCCTTTCCCACAGTTAAGGTAAAGCAGATGTGCAAAACTATGTACCTACAGATGCTCCTGAACTCACAACAGGGTTCATCCTGATAAATGCATCATAAGCTGCAAATACCCCTAGTGGACATGCTCTGAACACAGCCGACCCAATGAACACCATCGCTCAGCAAGGTAGCCCACTGCAGAACACCAGCTGTTTCCTCTTGTGATCAGGACTGACTGAGACCCAAGTCACTGCCACAGCCCAGCATCACGGGAGAGAAGCACCCCGCATATCACTAGCCTGGGAAAAGATCAAAATTCCAGACTCTAACTACCGTTTCCACTGAGTGGTCTCCCTTTCATAACCCCACAGGGCTAAAAGACTAAGTCGAATCATCGTAAGTCAGGGACTGACTGTACACGGTTTGTAATGACAAAAGAGCCCAATATCATCCACCAAATAAACTGTGCTACATCCACCAGCAGCTCAAAAGGGCAAGGATGTTCTCCGTGGGCTGACCCCCCAAACTCTCAAACAACGCACAGCATGAAAAAAAGCAAGTGGAAAATCTGTAGGTTCAGCAGAGATCCTCAACTCAAGAATATGTATTCATATTTGCTTGTGGTTTCAGAAAGAAACCCTAAAAGAATTTGGACCAAAACAAGAGTGATCATGGGGTGGGGAGGAATGTTAGGGTGGAAAGGGGGAGATACTGAGGGGATTCCTTTTTCTATACCTTTTAAGTATTTTTGGAGCCCATGAAAACATTCTTTTTAAATTAAAGCAAACAATTAAAGTAAATGAAACACTATAATAGGGCCTAGGAAAAAGTTTCATTAAATGTTTCTTAAGCAAAAAAGAGAAAGGGAGGGAGGGAGAAGACAACACTTTAATCATAATTACACTCTTGTGGCCAAGTGTGGTGGCACATGTCTATAATCCCAGCACTCGGGAGGCTGAGGCAGGAGGATCACTGTGAGTTCGAGACCAGCCTGGGCTACATAGTGAGTTCCAGGTCAGTCTCAACTACATAGTGAGACCCTGTCTCAAAAAAAACAAAACAAACAAACAAACATAAAGCAGTAATTATACTCTGGTGGGGGCTCATGAAGAGGACAGTTGCAAGGTTTTCTGCAGATCATTGTCGTATTTCCAGATAAACCGTGTAACCTGTGTCTGGAAGGAGCTCCTCAACCTCGCATCTCTGGAGCTTTGAGGCTGGAGCACCCTTTGTGGTGGGAACTGTCTTACCGTGGGACCCTGAGCGGCCTCTTGGCTTCTGCCCAGGAGATGCGAGTGGCAGCTCCCTTCCTGGTTGTGACAACCACAACAAAAAATGATCCTGGACATAACTAACTGTGACCTACATTGCCCGCGGCCGAGAACCACTGATAGCCTGGAGGGGTCTCCCCAGGTCTGTACACCTCTCTTCCACTAGGGGAGGTCTTCTTTCTCTGTCATAGTTCTGTGATACTTAGAATTTCACCAGGGTATTGTAGATGGGGAGGGGAGGAGGGGGTGAAGGGAGGGCAGAGGTAAGGGGGAAAAAGGAGAATCAAGACTTGTCATGTAGAGGTACAAGATCCCAACACTGAATGTAACTGCACTGTATCCCTAAAATGTACCAATAAACTCAATTAAAGCTGGGGGAAAAAAAAAATTTCACCAGGGTACTTTTTAGCCTTTCAGGAGGAGAAGTGTGACAATTCTATTTATATATATGATTGATGAGTGACTACGGGATATAGGACACTTCCAAAGGGCATCAAAACCCTAACGCTGGATTCATCATTATTTTCTATACTTCTATAAGAATTACATTTTTAAGTTTTTTATGGAAAAATAAAATGTCATAACAAAATAATCAGAGACTAACAATAGGTAATACACTGGATATCATTAACTTCGAAGTAGTCACTCAAAATCCAGAGATTTTCTCTTACGAAAAGGAGGCAGATGATAGCACAGAGATCTCAATGAACTAAGAGAAACTAGTAATATAAACAAAATGGATCGAATTTTTAACAATCAACATTCTGTACTTCTGTATTGTTCACTTGTCCCTTTGTTTGGTTGGTTTTGTTACAGATCAAGAAGCAAATGAGCCCTGCACGGCGGCGCACACCTGAAATTCTAGCACTCGGGAGGCCAAGGCAGAATTGCATGAGTTCAAGGCCAGCCTGAAGTACAGTGCAAGACTCTGTCTCAAAGTCAAAAACAAAAACAAAAAAAAGAAGAAGAAGAAGCAAATACAGTAGGGAAGAACAGAAGAAACAGGAAACCGGACCAAGGCTTCACAATCCCTCAAGGAGAAAGCAGATCCCTGACAACCAGCGTCCCAGGATCTAGGCCCACAGGGCAGGCATCCAGGGCTGGGCAGCCAGGACGGAGTCTGCAGGGCCAGCCGGACCCCTCCACGTCGCCCAGCTCCCGTTCACCAGCAGGCCCCCGACAGAGGTGCGGGTGGGTGGGCTGTCACGTTTCTGAGGCCTCTTCCCTGCCCCACCGCTCTTACAGGAACAGCCTGGAGCGGGAAGATGAGACCCTTCCTGGGGAACACACAGGCTGGTGACCCGTGCTGGGCTTTATCTCAGTTTCGCCTGCAACAGTGCTCTGAGGCAGGAGTCAGTGTCAACACTGGTAGGAAAACCGAGGGTGAGGGAACAAGCGACAGATTGGTGGGCAAGTGGCAGACGGGATGTTCCAAGGTCAAGTCTATGTGACGCTGAACACGTTAGGAGATGTGGGCTCAAAGGCTCACTTTCTCGTTCCTCATCCCCAAACTTCGGACAAACTGTCCTTTCGCAATCTCCATGGTATCATCCCCCTCCTTCATGTCCACAGCACCTAGCAGAATGGCTCTCTAGTCTTTATAAATGAGGAAACTCAGGCTAAACGAGGTGAAAGCATGTGCCCATCATCTCAGCCCAAGCTGCGGCCTGCATGAGCTGCCATGTTCCTTTGCTAGGAACTGACCCCAGGGCCACAGTGTGGGGAGGTGATCAGGTCCTGAGGGGCAGTGGGGTACAGGACTGGACCCTCAGCCTCCCGAACTGTAAGGAAGAAATCGCTACAAAGCAGCCAGGTGCAGGTATTGCCAGCAGGACCCAACGCCCTGAGACAGTGCAGGCGGCCGAGACGGGAGTGGATCTTGGTCTGTGAAGGCCACACCACAAGGAGTTCTGTAGGTCCCCAAGACGGGCAGTGCTTTTTTCCACCTCCAAACCTGCCAGCCCCAGCCAACTCCTTTACCTCCCCTACTCAGCCCTGAGTCACACCCGCCCTGCAAGGGTGGGCTCAAGTCAGGATACCCTCCCGGGCCTCCTTTCCAGCAGCTCCTTCTGCATCCTGACACGTCCTGGCCTCCCATCTCACTCTGCACCCACCCTGTCATGTCTTGACCTTGGACTGCAATGTCCCAGCTGCTCATAGACGTCAACACCTCCCCAAGGCTCCGCTGCGCTTCGTGTTTCCTCTCCCCCTCCAGGGCTCTCTATGCACCAAAGCGGCCTGTTGGAAAGTAGGCTCTGTCTAATGGGTACTGGGCCAGATCCGGGTTCAAGCACTCACTCTGCCACTTCTGTGTGACTGGGGACAAGGCAGTGAACCTCTCTGAGCCTCCATGTCTCTGTTCCACTTGTATAGGGAGACGGTCACACCAGCAGTGGATATGGTCAGCACGCTGCCTGACACTCGGCTACGCGCCGTGGCAGAGATCCGACCACGTGGCAACCCAAGCCACGAGGACCTCATCTTGGTGGAAGCATCGCCAGGCTCACGTAAGACTGCTTGCTCATTTCACTAGCGTCTCGGGCCAGCTCACACGCACGACGCTGGGCGTGGGGCACAGTGGCCGGCTGGACACCGCACAGGTATTGGCACACAGCAGGTGCTCCATAACGCGCCACTGATACCCAGCAGGACCTTTCTTTGAGGCTGGAGATAGGAAACTAGTAGCTCACAGCTTAACAGAGCCAAACTAGTTTGGACTAAACAGCATTTTTCCAGAAGTTGCCTTCGTCTCCTGACGGTGGGGGTCACACACAAACATTCGGGTTATCAGATTCTCTTGGTAGCAAAGGACTGCCGTTCCCAAGCCATTTTCAGGTCAGGAAAGAGCCAAAACCAGGCAGCAGGCACCTCCTCCCGTGGGGCACGAGCTCCGCACTTGGCACAGTCCCCACCTCTCCTTAGGGTCTCAGACCAGCTTGACTGTGCTCATCCGTGTTCCCACACAGCCCACAGAAGATACGCGTTGGAGCCCACACACCTGCATGCTTAATCGATGTTTGACAAGATGAAAGGAAGTTTCGTACTTACCTTCCGACTCTCTCGAGTCCTTGGCTCCCCCCGATGGAGCCCCACTCCGGCATCTGGACTCCCTGCAGGGAGGCTGGGCCTGGCTTTGGGCTGCTCTTGTCTCCTCTGTCTGGCTTCCTGCATGATGTACAGCCCCTCTTGGACTTTGGCGGGGAGGCCTTTTTCTGAAGAGGCCCTCTTAATATCTAGCAGGGACCTGCCACAGTCACGATGTGGCCACTGGGCCACACTTTCCTCCTCTCCCTGCCAGGTGGATTTTCTTAGGGCCCTTTTATCCTGGTCAGCAGGAGATTTGGGTGCCAGTCTGTCCCCACTGCCTTGATCTTCCTGGCCAGGGGGCTTTGCCTCAACTGGGTAATTCTGAAACTTTGTGTCATGGCGGCTGCTCCCAAAGGCCTTGTTTTCATTCTCTGAGATTCCAGTGACTTTCTTCCTGGGCCCAGCAGGGATGGAGGAGACCACAGAATACTTGTCAGTCGGAGCTGAGTGTGGCAGAGCCCACAAAGGACAGCTGGACTTGGGGGTCGTGGTGGTCCCCAGGGTCTCTGCCAGCTGCTTGCCTTTCTCAGGAGTGGCACTGCGGCCTGCATCCCTGCTGATGGCTTGTTTCTGAGGAGCTGCCCCACCAGGAGCCTCCTTGGGGCTCCTCCCTCCCCAGTCCATCCTGCTGGGCCAGCCTGGTGTCTCCCAAGGTGAGCCACTGAGCTCTGCAGCGGGACTGTCCCTCTGCTGGCCGGGGACTTTGGCTGACCGTTCCTTGTACTCGGCCATGAGGGCGTCGATATCGAGGACACTGGATCTGTAGCCGTCCTTCAGCTCGCCTGGGAATATCTCACTGACCATAGCCGTCCGCCTTCTGACCAGCAGACTGCTGGCTTTTGGGTGACTTCTCAGGGTCAGGGTAGTTTGGGGAGCACTGCGAGGAGACGTCCTGCTGCCACTGTCCCTCCAGTGGTTCTGAAAACGCATGCCTTCTTCTGACTCCCGATGAGGCCACACAGCATCCACACTGTGGGCTCCTTCTCCAGAAGGGTCCAGAATTCGGTCTCCCACAGAGGACTGACGGTCTCTTGAAGTGCTTATTCCTTTTTCACGCTCTCTTCCCTGAGCCCTGGTTTTACTGCCTGCAGAAACCTGTGGTTCTTCATGGTTAGGAGACACCAAAGTTGTTATAAAAGAATGGGGTGATGGGGGTGGGGCTAATTCTCGAGGCTGTTCCAGTGAATTCTCAGGCCCTGATTTGACAACACTCTTCGCCTTTCCAATATCAGGAATCTGATAAGTGACTGCGAAAAACATCGCCTTGGGTTCTGCAGATGACCCTGTTTTCGTGACTGGAGAGGTGCAATCCTGGGGGGTGCCTGAGGTCTCCTGTGTTCCCACGTGTTTGTAGGACAGTTGAGGTTTTCTTAAGGCACTGGCTGTGGGGCTCAAGGAATCTGTTCGTCTCTGATCCACTTTTGAAGAGTTATCTGGGGGGAGCAAGCCGAATGCTTCAAATTTTGCATCATGGGGTAAAGTCCGCCGACGCCATCTGTCCATCCTCGGGTCCATGGGGCTAGCTTTCGGCCCTCTGGCCTCGGGCCGCAGCCTCATGGCGCCCTCACTGACAGTCACAAGGGGTCCTTTTTGCACAGAAAATGCCTCTGGATGCACCACAAGTCGGGAGCCAGAGGGCTCAAACTTGGCCTTGGCCATGGGAGGGTCCAGAGCACACCCTGGGGGCAGACCTCTCTCTGCTGCAGAAATGTGGTCTCCTGGCTCATCTCTGACCCCACCAGGCCTCTGTTGCTGGCCTTCCCAGATGGCAACCTTGACAGCCCTCACAAAAGTGGCCTCAGGAGTAGAGGGCTCTGTGCTGGCCATCGGGGTGTCTTGATGCCAGTTTGCCACTGACCCATCGGTCCATGTGGGTGGTGAGCAATTACCCCCAAAGGTATCCTTTGGCTCCCGAAGGTCAAGCTTTGGCCCAGTGGCTTCCTGCCCTCGAGCTTCCCAAATCAAACTGGCCCTCTGAACAGACCCTGCCTGACCTTCCAGAGGAGGCTCTGGGTTGTTGGGGCTGACCTCCTGGGACAGCTGCGTCCCAGGCAGTGAGAGCCGGGACCTGCCACTGCGGGGCGTCACAGCAGAGCGTTTCCCGGGGGCCGTGGAGACAGCCTCGCTGTGCGCGTGTTCCCCCACAGTATGCACAATGTCATACCTGGGCTCGACCCTCTGTGACGTGGGAGGACTCTCCGAGAGCTTCCGGAAGGAGCTGTCGCGGTGTGTGGCAGCCATGGGGTATTTTTCCGGGGTGGGTGTGCAGTACTGCCTTGGCTCACTGCCCAGCAGGGAAGTTCCTTCCCGTTTCCCCTGCGCAGGACTCTCAGGCCACTTGGCGTTCTTCCTCCCGGGGTTTGTTACTTCTGGTGGGTCTTTCCCCACCCAGGGGCCTTTCTCAGGCCTGGGTCTGGGCTCAGGGACTTGGGCGTCACGAGGGGCTGTGTCTGAGAGGCAGCGTCCTGACTGGTCAGCCACCACATGTCTCTCCACGTGATGCTCAAACACTGTGGCCCACACCGTCTGGAAGTTTCCGTCGTCTTCTGGAGTGATTTCAGAAGGGCCAGGTGCGGTCCCTGAGCTGTCGCACTGACAGCTGCCGGAGCCCTCTTTAGAGCTGTCTTTGTGCTCTGCCCGCTCACACTTCTTGTGGGGCACCCCAGGCTTCCCAGGGCCTCCTGGGTCGGGCGTTCTGTCCAAACCATGCTCTACCATTGGCTGAAAAAATAAACACAGCGGTGTTAAAGGACTCGAGATGGAACTGAAGAGGCAGGTGGTTGAGTTGGCTGCTCGGTCATTAAAGCAGTGAGAGCACATGAGTACATCTAAAGATTCGCCACACTCAGTGGGGTGAGGGTGTGGGACAGTGGACGCCCTCGGATGCTGCAGGGAAACAGAAATAGGGACGACTTAAGGACGAGAGACACCCGATCACCATTTTCAATGTTCATTCCCTTTTATTTGGCCAAGTTCTTCCCCAGACTTTGGCTTTACCCGCGTGCGCAAGGGAACTAGAACAAGAAAGTCCAAGGAGCCCTGCACTGCTTGGGAAATCAGAACCTAAACCCTGTAATGTCCAACCAGGAGGCCACCACAGACTACAGGAGGAGAAGGGTCTCAAGGAGAAGGACACTAATTGTTGTCTCGCTGGGAGCAAAGCAAACTGCAGAACAGTGTCTTTATAGCATAAGAAACATTTTTTAACAACTCAGTGTGTTGCTAAGCGGTTTATACCTAGAGGCCCCTCAAAGCCTCGTGCACTCCTAGGTGAGGCTTTTGAAAGGTGATTAGATCATGGGGGTTTATAGTCCTCTTGCTGTTAGTAGGTGGGGCCTGGCAGGAAGAGGTGGGTCCCTGGGGGCACAGCCTGGAGGGAGGCATCTTCCTCCGGGCCTCCACCCCTCTCTCGGCTTCTGGTCAGTGAGGAAATGTCCTCTACACAGGCTCTTCCTCCATGCCGACAACCCAGCAAGGACTGAAACTTGTACGTCATAAGCCAAAATAAACCTCTCCTCCTTCAACGTATTGGGCCAGGTACTGAGTCCCAGTGATGAGAAAGTGACTAAGACATACATGCAGGTCTGTGGGTATGCATACATGTAGATAAACAGTCCAAAGAAAAGGCACAAATCAAACCATGGCAGAGGAAGCAGGATATGGAGGTGGGAGGCGGGACTGAACATGAGGAAATCTTTTAATGTCATGCTTGTCAGTCCCCTGCAATTTTGTAGCATCCATCTCTTACTCGGTAATTTTTTAATATTTTTTTTCTGTTAAAAATAAATATGTTTTGCCGGGCATGGTGGCACACACCTACAATCCCAGCACGCAGGAGGCTGAGGCAGAAGGATCTCTCTGTGAGTTCAACACCAGCCTGGGCTATGTTACATAGTGAGCTCCAGGTCAGTCTCAACTACATAGTGAGACCCTGTCTCAAAAAAAAAAGAGTAGCTCCTACCTCGAGGGGCGATGGTGTTGAGGAGCCAGGCAACGGCGATGGCTGCACAACATGGAGGACGTAGTGGACCTCACCAAACTGTGCCCCCGAAAATGGTTACAATGCAGGCAGGGCCAGTGTTTGCTAAACCCTCCTGTAGGTGATGGAAATCACACTGAAAATTCTGTAAAATGTATTGATATGTAAATTTTGTTTCTACTATATCAAGTAGACATAAAAAACACATGAATTTGGGCCAGGGATTTAGCTCAGCGGTTGGGTGGTCTGCCTTGCAAGCGCAAGAACCCGAGTTCAATCCCCGGTACCAAAAAAAGAAAAAAGAAAAAAAAAATAACTTTCTAAACAACCGATTTGCTGGTAAGTTCCTTCTTTCTTCTGTTACGTGGCCAGGCAGGGCGGGGAAGGGCTAAGAATCCTAAGGAGGGAACTGGAGGGAGTTTTTGTCAACATTTTAAACCAAACTCTTAAGTATTTTAATAAAACAAAAACTCATGTGAACAACCCATATGGCTCTTCCTCTTTCCACAGAAAAATGAAGAAATAAATACATTATCCAATGATTACATTTTAAACCACCTGACACTTGGGACTGGAAAATCATAACCCATCGTGCCAGGCAGGATTTGGGGTCCCAACACAGAGAAATGCTGTCTTGCCCATAACCTGATGCTCTCCACCTGGGTCCAGCGGTTCACTGACATCCTGCTCTGGGAAGTGTGACTGTACGCTGGGAAAGAAGACATGAAAACAGGCCCCCGCTCACCTTCCCGCTGGGCGCCTGGGGAGACTGGCTGCCCAGCCTGGTACACTGCTCATTCCTGACCTTGCTGCTTGAAGCTGAACTTGAGAACCTGGGAGAGAGATCAGAGTTACTCACGTGGAGCCGGAGGCTGGGACTCCCCAGCCCACACCCTGGCACCAGCTCAGGAGGCTGGGGCCCACCTCAGCCTTGCCAACCTCAAAACCGCGCTGTCCCATTTCCACTGAGCACATTTCCTTTCGGGCACCAAGAGAAGGGCTAGGGGGAAGAGCCTACCTTAAGCAGAGCATCGTTGGGGTGAAGATGCCCGTCTGCCAGGCCCTGCTCTACCACCTCACTGCAGGAGCCTGGGTCAGGCCTGTGACCTTCCCTGAGCCTCTGTTTCTTCATCTATAAAACGGGGATAATTGATACCTCCCTACCCTCTCTTGTGGACAGATAAGAGGCCACCCATAGCCCTAATAGTACATGAAGGTGTTTAGGAAAGGATGAAGATGCCCAGGAAGGATAATTAATGGTTCTTGTCAGCAACCCCGACCACAACAATCATCCTGCCACAGAGCAGCCTGGAGACGGGGGCAGTGGATCGCCATGGACTATGTGAGGGTGCAGGTCTGTCTCTGCCTCTCGGGTCTCAGTTTCCCCAATTAGAAAGGGGAAGAGGAAGGAGGCTAGACTCCTTCTATCTCGGATGTGCTATCGAGGGTAAACGCCTGTAGCAGGCACTTGGTTCAGGCCTGGAAGCACTGGAGAAAATGGACCAGGGGAAAACTAGACCCCTTGAACTTGACCCCCACTCGGCAGTACAGTGTCTGCTTTCTGGGAGGTGTGAGGCTGTGATGAGTTGTTTCTGAATGCAGTTCTTCAGTCCCCCCATCTGTCAGATAACCACAGCCTCTCTGAGGCACCCCGAAGGTAGTCAGAATGAGGTCCCTGGCACCCATGCCTTCTTCTGTGATATCTTAGCTCAGGGGCTGTTAGGCCAGGCCACATTCAGAACCACTTGGAAGCTTTTAGAAGCTCCCAAAATACTCACACCCACGCGCACGCCCCAGACAAACTGAATCAGAATCTGGGCCCAGATATTTTTCTGGGCAATTCTAGTGTGTTGAGGGCCACTGTTCTCACTTGGCCCACCTGCCGCCCTGGATCCCAAGTCTGGGAGGACAACCTCCAGAGATCCTGCTCGAGAAGCTCCTCCACGGACAAGGCATGCCACTGGCATGCACGGCATTAACAAGCCTGCGGGTCACGCCCGGTGGCATCTCCCTGCTGTGGCCACATGCAGGAAAACAACAGGCAGGTGTCAAGTGTCAGGCAGGTGGAACTCAGTGGATCCTTGTTAACCAACAGGATTAACGACCACCAATGTACTAAGGGCTTCCCCAGAACAGAATAATTCCCAGCATTCTCTCTGAGTTTTTACCCTCAGTCCTTCATGGAAGGGTCTTAGCATAATCTGTTTTCAAAACGAAGATACTGAGGCTCAGTGACAAGTTATAATTTGCCCAAGCTACGCCAGCTCCTCTGGTTTTATTTTGGGGCCACTCGGAGAAGCTCAGACCTAAGCTGAGGTGCTCTGTGATGTGAGGGGAGGGAGGTCTAGCCAGAGAGATAGGCTAAGCCAGAACTGCCCGGGGCTCCGACCCTCACAGTACCTCACTCTTCCAGCCCCAACCTGTTCAATGGGCAAACTCTTTCCAAGTCCTCACACCGCGACTGAAAACAGATAAGGGAGGACACGTGGCCCTCTGCCCCTGCTGGAGACCTGGCCTCCCTCTTCACAGCTTCCTCATCTGAGAGGTGGGGGCTAAGGCTACCTCTTCTAAGGGCTGTGGATGAAATGACAGAAGAGGTGTAGGTCCTGGGCACAGAGCCTGGTGTCACTGGGCTCCCTCCCCTCAGCCTTCGGGTGGGCAATCGGAGGCAGCCTGGGGTAAGCACAGGTATGTGGAATGTGGTCACTTACACTTTGGTCAGATCTGCTGATAATGGCCGTGTCTGGACGATCCTCCTCCTGACCTCAGGCTTCACCTCGGAGCTCTCAGTGGCCCAGCCTTTGATCCGCTCCTGGACACTCACGCCCACTTTCTCAGGCTCTGGTGTTGCCAGTGGGGGCTCCAGGGTGGCCGAGGGAGGGTCTGGTCCTCCTGCTGAGGCCAAGGTAATCTCCTCCTGAAACAGGCTGAGACGCTTCTTGACGCTCCCCCTGGAAGTCCACTCAGTCCCCACCAAGGACTCGCCATCAGCCCCTCTGTTCTTGACCCCAGCACATTCCAGCCCTCTTCCTGACCTGGCAGAAGAAGACTCAGGCATCTTCTGTGGCTCCTGGGCCAGCCTGGCCTTTTCTTCCTGAGGACTCTGGTCAGCTGCGGGGGGAGGTGTGGCTAAGAACCCATGGGCCCTGGGGCCACCCATCTCTGCCTGCTTAAAAATCAGCTTCTCCTTCTCTTCATGGACTTTCTTGGTCCCCTTCAGGAAGTCTGTGTCTGGATCATGGTGAGGAGCCCCTGCTTGGACAGGACAGTCCCCATCCACGCTGGTCTGCAGGTTGGCCCTCTCCGGCCTGCGACACTCAGCTCCCTTTCCCTCATCAGCCACTTTCTTCAGCAAGGCCTCCCGGCTCTCGAACCGGGCTGTGAGGTCCATGGACAAAGGCCGGGGCTTCCTCACCCATGTCTTCTCAGGAGGGGTGGGGGGCACCTTGCCTGCCCCGGCCACCCCTTCTGGGCTTGGCTTCAGAGGCTGGGCACTCTCTGTCAGGATGGCCGACACAGGCCTCCTCTTCAGGTGAGGCCTGGGCTCTGGTGCAGGAGTCCCGGTGTCCACCACACTACTGGCCTTGAAGAGAGGCTCCTCTGGGACTCTCTCTGCTTGGCATGGGGCCGATCGTCCATCCTGAGGCAGGGAGGCCGGTCGGGGAAGGGTTCCCATGGGTTTGCGGGCAGGTAAGGCAGGCTTGGCAGCCACCTCTGGCCGGGTGCTGGAAAGAGGCTCCTGGGACCCCATGCCAGCCTCCAGAGCCCCCTGACTAAGCCCCTTCCCCAGAGAGGGTCCAGCTTTGATGGTCTCAAAGAGAATCATGGTGCTGGGGCCAGTGCTGGGGCTGGGTTGCAGGAACACAGCCTTGTTGATCAGCGACACACTTTTCCCAGGGCTGTCCCTACTGTCTACCTCCTGCCCTGCCAAACTGGGCATCCTGAGGTCTGGATCCTTGGCTACTGCCTCCTCAGAGAACCCAGTAGGAGACGGCCTGGTGGGACCTAGCCACAAAGATGGTACAGGAGACTTGATGTTGGAGGCCTGCTCCTTGGAGAAAGGTTTAGGGGTGAGTCTGGGCAGGGGGAACAAGCGCGCTGGGCTCTGCAGGGGGCTTTGTCCTTCTAAGATCCGGGCCGAGGGAGCTCCAGAGGTGTCACCCGCCTGGCAGAAGAAGGTCCGCTTCAGGGTCTCCTCCTTGCCGATGTCACCGAGGCCTGGCACCCTTCTCAGGGACGTTATGGAGCCAACCTCAACCCGTGTTGCCATGGTTACCGTTGTGGATCCATGAGGATTAGGAACATTGGAAATGGAGAAGCAACTGCTTTAAAAAAAAAAAGAAGAGGGAGGTAAATTTAGCATGTAGTCAGTGCCTGCATCAAAGCAAAGGTGCGGAAGAACAGGCCTGGGACCTGAATCCCAACTCTAGAGCCTGCTTCAGCACTAAGGGCTCCTCCAGGCCTTTTTTTTGGTACCCGGGATCAAACTCGGGTCCTCCTGCTTGCTTGCGAGGCAGGTGCCAGAACCACTGAGCTAAATCCCTGGCCTCCTCCAGGACTCTCTCGACTCAGCCAATCTCTGGCCAGTTCTTAGAGCAAAAGGGGATTCCTTCTTCTGGACAGATGAGAAAACCAAAGGAGGCAAAGGAACAGGCCCCGGGCCTCTCAGAAAGGGAGAGGTTTGCAACCCAACTGGGGATTTAGCTCAACAGCACCTCACCTGCCTTGCAAGCACAAGGTCATGAGTTTGATTCCTGGTACAAAAAAAAGAAAGGGAGAAGCAAAGTCAAGCACTCAAACTCAGGTCCAACTAACTCTACATGCACACCACGTGTAAGCTCCACAGCACCGATCCTCAAGCTCCCTCACTCCCGCCGCACTGATTACTTCCTGTTTCAGAGCCTGCTCCCTTCAGGCATCCCAGCAACCCAGGGTTGAACACCAGGCAAAAAAGAGGTTACAAGGTGAGCCTCAGCTCATACAGCCACCCAAAGCAGAAGTGCCCAGAGTCACAAGCCTGGAGAGTGGCTGGTGGAGGCCGTGCCGCGGCCCCCACCCCTCCCCAGGGTGCCTCCGGGTCTCTTATCTTTGTCTTCTTAGTTTTCTTCGATTTGAAATCCAAGCACCATTTTTCTCACTTGACCTGCTGGTATTTGTCATTGAGTTGTTTTCTGCTGAACACCTATTTTATGCTGTCTTCCTTGTGTTTCCTGTTTTTTCTTTTGTGTTGTGGTGCTGGGGGTGGAACCCAGGGGCTCTGTATGCTAAGCAAGTGCTCTGCCACTGAGCTGTTCCCTAGCCAGGTTCGTATTCCTGACAGGAAGAGTGAGAGCTAAGTGGGCGGGCTTACCACAGCTGAGGCCAAGGACTTCCGAGTGGTATAAAGCTCACCCTCCAGGCCCTACAGGGCAGGGCTGATGATTAGATCTCGTTTTGCATCAGCTCAGGCCAGGTGCCCCTTGCTTACTCAGCTCGGGATTTGCTCTCTCAAGGCAGGAGTTTCCCTCTCATTAATCCCCAGACAACTCCAAGAGGCAGAAATTGTCATTATCTGACCCATGGAGATGAAGGGAAAGGGCCCAGAGAGATCACCCCATTTACTTATAATCACAGAGCTAAAACTTGACCTCTAGTCTTCAATCATTCAGCCCTGCCTTCTGAAAAAATATTTTTTATTCTTTTCTGATCTGAAGAAGTACCAGAGAAGTCACTGTTCTTAATCCACCAGCCCCTTTCCTGCCGGTATTGTCTTTCCCTGTAAAATGGCCCCTCCCTGCCAGCCCCCACCTAGATGCACTAAAAAAGAAGGTATTTTAGTTCAACGCAAGCCTCCTGCATCCCCTCCTTGGGCCCTGTGTGGCTCCCGCCCCCCATTCCAGCTCTGACTCATTCGGCAGTCTGCGGGAAAGAGAGACCAACAGCTTTTGATATTTTTCTCTTCCCAACACACTTGATGGTGCTAACAGATTCCGTCTCCCCAGCCAAGAGAACAGTGTCTAGGGTTAGAAGTAGAAGAAAGGGATAATTCCCAATGATGAATGTAATTCAATGAGAAAAAGGAAGAAAGAAAGATCTACAGGATCTGAAAACTGAGGAAGCCCCATCTACAAAGACCCCAGGCAGAGATCTGAGGGTCCGGGACTAGCCACCCTCAGGGCCAGCCGCCATGAGCTCTTAAAACCCTGCTCTTAGACTCGCACGGAGCATGGACATGAGACACAGGACAACAAAAGGATTCAAAAGACAGGCAGAAGGTTCCCCTGGCCAAACCCTGGTGTGCCCCACCTCTTCGACACTCCGGCCCCCATGCTTGAGTCAGCGTGTACCCCACCTACCTGAGCCGGCAGGCCACGAGTGGGGCTGTGTGGTCACCAGGGAAAGCCAGTGGGGTCACGGCTCAAGGCGAATAGGTGTGTGAACGCTCCCATGGCAGAAGTGGATAGGGCAAGAGGCTTTGTCACCACAATCTGAGTGTCAGCCGGTCTGGGGAGACACGGGGCAACAGCTCAGTTCCAGAGTTCCAGCAGGATGTGCACAGACGGCACGAAAGCTTTTGGGCTCCAGTTACACCTGCTGGCATCGCCTCCAGCTTCTAAGCCTCACGCTCCTTCCAGCTTTTCAATTTTGTACCCTATATATGCACGTGTGTACAATTAGTGTGGGTCCACAGTAGGTGCTCAATAGATATCTTCCCTATTTCTTTGATATTGTTTATGGACCGTCTACTGTGTGCGCAAAGATGAACCGGAAATACTTCTGCAACCAGGAAGTTCAGTTTTGTGTAAAATACAGGCAGACAGACACAGATACAGATACACACAAGTGTACACACACACACACACACACACACCTACAATGCTGGTAACAAATGTCCTGGTCTATAACGGGGGATAAGGGACACGAACAGGAGGAATAACTGCCTAGATATGGAAATGATGGCCTCAGACAATGCCATCAATACACAGGAGGTAACGACTGAGCCCTACGGTCATTATCCTCCATTTAGCAGTACTGGCACACTGCACTCGTGGGGGTCCTGCTCAGGGCCTTTGCACTTACTGTGTCTATTCTTTAGCAGAGCCCTCCTGTTCACAAAACCCTCAGACCACCCCAAAACTGGTCCAAAGCCCTAGTACATGTTCATGGAGTGCCAGAGACACCCAGATACTCAGCAGGATTCATCACAGGTAGCAGTCACATTTGCTGGGGCAAGAGCCATCACCCCACGTTCGACAACAAGTCCCCCAGGGCCAGCATGGTCACTTGGCACAAATAGCATCAAACACATAATGATTGAGTAAATAATTATTGAGTGAATAAATCAGTGAATTAAGAAAGATGCTCGCGGCCCCATTTCCTAATCTAAGATACCAGATGGTGCGGGTGCCACAAATCCGGTGAGTCTCATGACAAGTGACACAAAACAAGCGGGGCCCCATTTGAGTTAGCCGACCTCTGGCCACAGCTACCCAGAACTATGAGGGGCTCAGCAGGGAGCTCAACCTGCAACCCCCACCAAGAGGCAGGGGGACTGTCACAATGGGCCCGTGCAGAAGCCCCATAGCTCACGCCGGCTGCTGGGAGAGCCTGCGGTGACCATCTTACCCTCACACTGCCATGCCCACTAAGATGCCCAAACGGCCGTCTGCCGGGCTTCTCCTGGAAAGGAAGTCCCCCAGGGCAGCACGTGGCCCTGAACCCACCTCAGTGGCCACGCAACAGGAGGGAAAGCAGGGAAGACGCAGGAAGTGAGTCTTGGCTCGCAGCCCTTCTCAGTACGACAGAGCCTCCGCTGGTGAGCCGCCCTCCACCTCGGGCTAACACTCGGGTCACCATTTCAAATACTGAGCAGACGCCTGCCTGGTCCGAAAATGTGGTGGCAGGGGCCATCAAGGAATTAATTAACAGATCCACGGACAAAAGAAAGCAAAAGAAGTTTCTACACCACTATAACAGACACCTAAGTAGTATTTTAGAGGCCTTCCCAACCCTAGAAACCCAAGATTCTCAAATTTTCATTTAACCCACTATAAAATGCAAGGAACCTGATTTAAATATGTTTTAAACTCTTTTATCTAATGTACCACATACGCTATGCCTGATTTAAGAGATGTTAGTCTCTTCCAAAACATTTCAGAAGCCCACTCACATTTGAAACCAGCTGCTATTTTTTTCTGGAGTGGCCTCGCTCCCTCTTTATAAATGCATTAGTGAAACGTCAAGAACAAAACCAGGTTAACCAAGAGCTTCAAAAACAAAGAAGGGCACTGGGCATGGTGGTGGATGCCTATAATCCCAGTTACTTGAGAGGATGAGGCAGTAGGATGGCAAGTTCAAGTTCAGCCTGGACAGCTTAGAGAGATCACGTCTTGAAACAAAATTTTTAAAAGGACTGGAGATGATGTATATATAGATCATCCTGGAGGTCAGCAGCGTGCAAGGTGCCCAGCAAGAGGCATGGTGAGCCAGGAGAAGGACGGCACGGGTGGTTTCTTTGCTGTAGCTGAGCCTGATTTGTCCATAGGCTCAATCTCCCTGAAGTGATTTACAAAGTCTTCCCCTTTCCCAACAGCTGTCTCTTGCAGGGAAAGCCCTTTGTCTGGGAAGGGAGTCACTGGGCAACAGGAGCAGGAATGAGACAGGAGTCACTGGAAAACGTTCCCTCCTGCACCCTTCTGACTCTGCTGCTGTACTCACTGCCTCCCCATGAGACACCAGGTCTGTGCTCCATGTCTGGTGCACCGAGAGCTCCCAAGTGCCTGGGGAACCTGAGGCATTACAAGAGAGGAGGCAAGAGAAGTGTTTCCATTCAAAACCAAACAATTTCTCAGCTCTGCTCCCCGATTCGGAGGCGTTGATTCACTCTAACAGCTGCTGATGAACATTCATAATTACACCCTTCAAATCCGATCTGGTAGCTCACCAGCCATTCACTCAGCGTCTCCGGCTGCTGCTTCGTGAGGTTGCCACCATCTGGTGCGGAATGTGGGCTGGTCCTCACACCTTTCCGTGTCTTCCGGGAACATGACCTCGGCCCCCAAATCTGTAAATCTGTGGCACATTGTGCGAAGGCCCGAGAGTGTAAAGTGTGTCCTCCCGGAGAACCGGGGCGCGCAAGATCTGCCTCCCAGAAGGCCCAGATGGACCGGACCCAGCCCAAATGTCAGATGTCACCAGAGTTCATGCATCCTCTCTACCTGTCCCATGGCTGCAGCCCCCCCACCTACCTAGTTCCATAGCTAGTTCTCCAGCCCTGACTGCGTGCCAGGCTCTGGGCCAGGTGCTGAGAGTGCAGCACTGAATGTGACACAGAGAAGGGCCTGTT